GACTCCGTTGTTTCTCGTCCACAACCTGCGGGTTGTCTGCGTCCTCTCATAGAACCTGTACCCTCTACGCGCTATGTCACCTCCCTTGTGTCACGGTGGACTTCAGAGGAAATGTACGTTCAATAGAACATATAAACCCCGAGAATTTTTTTCACTTGTTGCTGGTCTTTCCGCAAATGTATTACGAAGCGAAAAACCAACCAGGAAAGGATGACACACTCCCATGAATCGATGCACTGAGACCAATATTGTGAGGTAGACGGACATGGTGAGACCAGTTTGTGCGAGTGGGTAAAACCACACGATTAGTACGGCCGACGCTCGCGCCATGTCTAGAAAAGGTGGTTAAGTTTTTTATAGGATCAGAAGGAAGCTATTTCATGGCACTTACCGACGTCATCGGACACTTCTGCGTAGACAGGTACGGAGAATACGAAGAACGAGGCGATAAGAACGGTGAGGTCACTGAGCGACAGCACCAGGAAGAACCAGTTGACAGGCTGATTGCGCATCTTAAGCATGCAACATCACACGATTGTTAGGTAACCCATTTCTGTCTGGGTGAGAATGATATGGCAGGCAAGGTGAGTAGAGGTGGGCCAGGAGCATGGCCCTGCGGCGCAATGGCCCTTCTGCTGCTCGTTCATCCACCTACTGCCTCACTTCCGCGTCTTCAAAACTCATTTGATGCTACTTTTCAGAAAGGTGGTTTAACACAAGGACGACACCTTTACGAGCATACGCGCCAGATGAGGCGCCAGATGGTTCGCCTTTATTATCAGAACCAGAAAATAGCTTGCCACCCACCAGAATTGCAATAATCGAAGGAGTAATGATGGTTTGAAAATATAAAGGATAAAAAAAAGGATAAAGCATTTGCCGTTGATCAATCCCTTTTTGGGATGCGGCACGCATTCTACTTCCATTTGTACATTCGTAGTGGCGTTTGAATGCGATGTGGCCTATACAATGACTTGCGGGGGCCAGCCGATGTACAAGTCAGTGTTTTTATCCCCAGACAAGTCTGGTACCAATTAACCGACCCCGGAGGGATGGAAGGCTTGGTTGGCCCGGGCGACTCACGACCCAGGATTTGATCCCCGGACCGCTCGCGTGGTAAGCGTGCCACTTGCCACTACACCACTTCCGCCCCTTGAAAATATACAATCAAAAAAGATACCGAGAGGGCTGTCGGTAATGTGTTAGAGCGCAGAAACGCACTGACATAGCTAAAAAACGTACAGTCTTCCGTGAGAATACGACGACATTGATGGAGTTGGCGAAAATGCCGAACAGATAGGTGATGGGCATCAAGTAGGCACGAAACAAGAACTGAATATCAGTAAAAGAATCGGCAGGAGAGGAGTCGCACACGTCCAGCGAGTCCTCCAACAACTCTCCAACACTCATATACGCTTCTGAAGTTCTAATTAGAAAATTGGGTCGAAGATGAGACTGTGAGAGCACACGGCGAGCACAAAAGCGACTACGGTAAATAAGTCAATCTCGAACGCTGAAAATGAATATAATAAGCAATAAGTCTTTTCTATGGTGTGTTACCCATAGTGGGCAACGTTAAATAGTCAGCCGTCCCGAAGCTTCAGTTCCTCTTGAAGTGTCATCTCTCGATACGAGGAGCAAGGAAAACAACGATGCTTTTCAAGACTGATGTCAGACAAATAGGAAGTCAACAACTAACAAGAGAGTTTTCAACTAACAAGAGAGTTTTCAACAGAACAATTTTGATACAGAAAACAGAGTCATTTAAAATCGCATGAGAAGAAATGCTAAGGAGTTCAACAGCAGTAGGTTTGTGGCTGTCAAGCCGTTTCCCTCCACTTCACTACGCTTCAATGAGAAATTATTATCGCTCAAGCTGTATCGAGGGAGACGTGCGATGAGGAATGAAAAAGTTGATTGGTTCGAGAGACTTTCGCGACGAATAGAACAAAATCAATTTCCCTTGAAACAAAAGCTTCCTCAATGTTATTTCTTATACGGCATCTATGTAAATGAGAGTTTTTTTAATGTCGCGTCTTCTCAGAGAACACAATTATTGGAGGCAGTAAGTAGAGTAAATGGAGGTTACTACACAATTCGATAGAACTATGAGAAGGTGTCGCTATCACAAAGAGAAAGAATAGCAGGGAGGGGGGGGGGAATGGGCATGTGTTTCCCATGTAGCACTTCGGCCTTTTTCTTCGCAGAGATTGCCGTCGTTGACGGGAAGTTCTCAGCAAAATATCCTAAATGTCCCTCTATAAGTACACGCAGGCCCTCCTTCACTACCCTCACCGTCTTCAGAATATGACGTCATCTGTCACCGTCGTCGAGCTCAGGGAGGCCTACAGTAACTGCTTCAGCCTGAAGCTCTTACATAATTTCTTGGATCGGATTCAACGTGGGATAGTTTCCTAGGGACATTAGCTCTAACTATGCAAACCTCTCGGACCCGCCCTTCGGAACCCGTCGTAACGGTACACGATCAGTCGAGAACCCCATTGAGCTCGACCAGAGCACCATGTTTTCGGGGCAAACTTTTCTGATGCCGTCCACGTAGATGGCCACTATGAAGATTTTCTTATGAAATGAAATGCGCTCTTCAATTCTAAGTTGGGAGCACACGCTTTGAGCTGAACAAAGTGTGATTAATTCCGTTTGAGTCTGGGGACAAAATGTCTTTTTTTATTCCCCCCCTGTTATGTTGTACTGTTGGATTATGCTGCAGGCTGAGCAAAAATATGTTTTCTAGGTAAAAATTTTCCACTATAGACGGAAAACTTTCGCAGTGTCTTAACGGAAGGGCTAGTTGTCACACGATCCCTCCCTGCTTGTTTTGTTACAAACAACTGTTTGATCTTTTTATATTCCTTCCGGCACACATGCTATTGTATTAACATGTGTTTGCCGTTGTTTAGTTGTTTTTGTGAAATGTTCCATTCTGAGCATTTAGTAAATATAAATAAATTGGAAATGCAAATGAAAATAAATATAAAGATAAATATAAATATTAGCCTAACGGAATTATTCGCCGTTTTCTTACAGGCTTATGTCTCTCTGATTTTTTTGCTGATTATTTCTATTGCTGATTTGCTTGCCTACGTAGCTTACACACCAAGCAAAAAAGGTTACTTATGCTACATGAGTACAAGTTGCATGGTTGCAGAGAAGACTGTTCGAGAGGTTTATTGGTTAATCATTTGTTGTTGTTTTGTCTGATTTTATTAATAAACTTATGTGTGAAATGAAAACAGCGGGTAATTTCTGCTCAACCTAACACTTGAAGGCACACCCCAGGTTGACATTAGAGTGGCTCCTGAACACGAATGCAAATGTGTTGGTGCCAAATGGCCGGCAGTAAAGAAAAAAGGAAAAGAATCCGTCGAAAAGGCTCAGGTTAAAGGCTCACTCACCTTCCTAACCGGCTATGCTAAAGGAATGAGAGACTAAGCATGGAGGTGAGAGCGCAAGGTGAGGTCGCTGCAGATGAAATACAAATGAGCCTGATAAGAAAACTTCCAGCTTCAGAAGCTTACTCTTGCAAGGCACAAGCGCTATTGTCGGTTGGTTTTCCACATTGGAAACGCCACATTTGGACTGTCTTCTAGAGGGTACTGGAGGGAAGCGTTCACACGACCTCTGCCTGGGTTGTGTCTTTGAAACAAGCTATATCCAGCCTTCATTCATAGAAGGAAGTTTCTCGAGATTTTACTAGAACGTTCTTCACAGAAGTAGCGGTTCACCGCTCCCACGCTATGTTCCTTCTACCACCGTATACCCCTGCACCTCGACCGATTAACGAAAAAAGGCGATTACCTGTTATTATAACGCGTTGCAAGGGTGAATATGTGTTTTTTGAAGCATGTGAGGAAGATTTATAGGGAAATGGCGACAATGCGCAAATGGTTGGAATCTAATAGTGAGCTAGAGTAACAAGAAGGCGTTGGAAGGCCACGCTGTGATATGCAGGTACATCTTCAAAATGCCCTCAATAATAAATATAAATATAATAATATAATGAATAAGATATTTTGAAAATTATTTAATTAAGTTTTGAGGGTTTGAAATTTTTAATTATTTAATTATTATTTTTAAATAATAATGAAAATAAATATTTGGCATGCATGTCTGGCATCCAAATGACTGTAAATACCAAAAAGGATTTCAGCGTCGATCTTTGCAGTGATCATTGTGGCTGCAAGATTGTTGCAATGGAATAAAGAGTAAAGAACTAAGAGGAAAGCGAAATTTGCAGGTGAATGACGGCGACGATGGTAGTTGTACGGCGACGTCAGCCGTAATCTGCAATTTCACCTGGTAGGGTGGAATGCTTCAGTGAATGCCCTATGAAGCGAAAAGTGATGCGAGTTCTTATTACCCCAGAGTCCAGACTAGAAATCTGTCTGGGGTGGTTGAGTTGATGCAGTTAAATTTGCGAAAAATTACGCCAATTCTGTTTTTGGACGGTAAGAACGCCCTTTCAGCATCGCGGGAGGCATGCATTTTAATTCTATTTGGCTTTACATCAGCATGTTCACACCTAATAAAAACAAAAAAGCGTCCTTTATGGGAGTTAAGCAATAAAGAAAAAGCGCATTCATATTATTCGTGCCTACCAATTCAAGAATAGCTCGCAGCTATGAAGAAGCACTTCGAAAAAGCTTAATTTGTATGAAAAAATAGAAAGATATCAGGTCACGTGTCTCCACACAGGAGTCGCTTAAGGAGTTCATACACATTTTGCCCAGAAACATTTTTGGCCACGCCCCCGGGCTACAGCAGTACACTGTCGAGGCAGAAACACGATTTATTCATGAGGAATGTTAAGATGTACATATAGAGGTACAATGTAGGGGTAGGGATACAATAGGGGTACAAATGGGTACAATGCCCGTTTAGGGATGCAACGCACGTCAAGGAGCTGTTGAGGTTTCAAAGTTAATAAATTACAGGCAAAGCTTGTAGTATGCTCAAGGTGTTAGAATATTCGATGATGTTTAATATTAGTAGCAGGGAAAAAACTGTGAGACACGAAAACGTAGCAGAACATGGGAATTCAAGAAAGTAAAGGGCTTCTGAATTGAAATAAAGCACTGAAGAACAGACGGGACACCTGGGTCGACCATGGCGTGTGGGCGGTTATACGACTTCCGCCTAGCAGATGCCGACTGCAGGGTGAGGCAACGTGGAATATTCGAAGATGGAGGAGGTTCTGGGGGATGGGAGGATCTGGGAGACCCCATATAATCAAGGTGCGTAGCATTCCTCCTCCTGGGGTCAAGTCACCTAAGAGACCGTTCATTCGCTCGGAGCAAGCTTAGGACTAAGCCTAGGCCCAATCATAGGCTTAGGCATAAGCCAATGTGTAAGCATAAGCCTTAACCTAAGTCTAAACCCAAACTTAACCTTAAGCTTCAATGATCGCGCAACGTGACCTGACCTTCAGGAGGAGAAACGCACGTCTCCCAGTCATGTGAGAGAAATTGACAGCTTTTTTTATGGAGGGATGGGGATCCACTGGGTGTAGGAATTGCATAAGTTTTTTAACCCATAACGGACGGCCAGTGTATTTTTCGCGTGCGCCACCATGTGGCGCACGCCGCCACCCAGGGTAGGGTTTATGTAGGCTTATGCGAACAGCAGGGTTAAGACGGGGCTAAAGTAGGTGTCCGTGTCTCATCATCCAAAAGAAGAGATTTCCGTTGACGACAAGTTCGTAACCCGCCTTTCCGCTCTAAAACTAGGGTGCAAAGAATGAATGGAAGCTGTAGGTGACATTATCGAAAAATGCGAAACAACAACCCCGAGCAAGGATGTGGCTATATTTAGGGGAAGGGGTCTCGGGACGTGCGAACCATGGGTAAGCCACCCATCAAATAGTAAACTTATGTAAATTAAGACAAAATGTATGTAAAATTTATTGTAGGTTTGTCAAAAATCCAGCCGTCCAGGTCCTGGGAAGATATGTTATTCCACATTGCTGAGAGTATATATGGGTATATTAAGATTGCTAGAAACATTCCAAAAACAAAAGAAATAATCGTGCGCCACCATGTGGCGCACGCCGTCCGTTATGGGTTAAGATATTCTTTTGATTGAGTGATTGAGTGATTCTGAGTTCTTTTGAGTGATTCCCACGGGATTTCGCGCAGTTTTGGGAATTTTACGCAAAGTCCAGAAATCTTTTTCCGGTTCGTTTCAACTATTTTTCCTACCCAAAGTAAATCTTTGGCCGAATGCAAATTCAGACGGGATGGAAGAGAATGGGAGTACGATCCGGAACTGAACTGTGGTATAACGACTGAGGAGAGGGTCGTTTAGTCTGCTCCCTGGACGCAAAGCTCGACAGGAGGTGTCGCTGCCATTCGCACAGACTTTTTCAGTTAGCCTAAAGAACTTGGTTTAACGGC